TGATGGTCAAGGGCCCCTGGGCTCAACCCCAGTATCAAAAAAGAAAAAGAAAAAAAGAAAGGAAGGAAAGAAAACAAGGGCCTTGAATATTGATGTACGCCTGGGCCAAGAGACCCACTGCCAATTGGCAGGAGAAGACAGAACCCATCATGCCATTTGCAGCACTTGTTTTCTGAACCTGAAGGCAGTAATAAAAAAAAACATGGGTGTATGTGATCCCATTTTAATTTTGTTCAGCAAATATTTTATTGAATGCCAGCCATAAGATGGGCATTGTTAGCCACTGATTTATAGAGAGAGATGAATTGATATCATTTTTGTCCTCCAACACCTCAAGAGTCCAGCTGAGGAATGTAATGACTAAGTACCAACTTGATGGTATAAAGGAAATACTTAAAAGTTTCCCTTCAGGAGTTCTGTGCCCTCTGCGCTGCACTCTATTTCAGATACCAAAATAATGCCCGAGGCTTGAGGCTGTTCTTGTCTTTTCCTGGCTCCCTGCTGGTACACAAGATAGGAGTCCTTGAATGCTGTCTCATATTGTTGCACACAGAGTTATTGATGCACCTCTTACACATCACTGTGTTATCATTCAGCCAGAGCAAGCTAGAATGTCTGCCCCCATCCAGCTCTGCTCATCTCAAAAATGAACCTCTGCAGAGCATGTCTGAAACCTAGTTTCATGTCAAGGGCAGGAAACAACAGTCCCCTTCATGCAGCTCAGAAACTGAAGTGAAACTTGCAGCCAAGTTTCCAAGGCCTGTGGTTGTTGATCTTCCTCCACCACCCCCTGCCTCCCGTTGCTTTTTATCTCTATCTTCCAACCAAGTTCTGGGTTCTTTTGGTCTAAATATCACCAACCCAGAGTTCTTCTTTTGGAGCCAAGGCACTATCTTGGACCTTGAGGGGGAGATTATGAGTCCGTGGTGGCTACATTAGATAAGTTTCTTTTGATTGCAAACACAAAAACTAACTCTAGCTAAGTGAATTAAAGAAAATATATAGTGTAGGGGGAGCACAGTACAGAGAGAAGATTGGAAATTTTTTTTAGAAAGATACTAATATGTCCTCCCAGAATTAAAGGGCAAGTCGAACAACCAAGAGGCAGGAATCATCTCATCAGTTGTGATGGCAACTCTGAGGTTTCCAGTGAGTTGGAAAGTCTGTCTCTGTCTAGCCCCTGCTCATCTCCAAAATGTACCTCCGCAGAACGTTACTGAAACCAGGTTTCATGTCAAAGGCAAGAAACAACAGTCTACTTCATGCTTTTCACACACTGAAATTGGTGGCCTTCCTTCCAGAGAAGGAAGTAAGGGGACACACAGGAAGTAAACCTAATGAGTGTGGCCCAGATTGCATGTTTGTGGGCGAGGGGCCATTGCCCGGTGGTTCTGTAGGGCTGGCGGGACTCTATCTCTGTAGAGTGGAATGGGACAGTCTCTATAGAAAGGGAGTCATCCGAAGCCTAGCAGCCAGGCCAAGATGTCTATATATTTGTTCTTCCTTGGACAAGAATGTTCAGCTAAAGTTCTGTCTTCTTTGACACCAGACTTTTATTTATGGAAGGTACCATTTTATAAGTAGTTTGTCATTTTCTTCCTTCCACAATTGAATCTAGCCTCATGCATGGTTTTACTAGTTAAAAAATCAACCTACAGTTAATTCCACTCTTCTAGTTGACTCAATACTACCTCCCTGAATCAGCTTTTGTTGGGTTAAACTTTGGAGGAGGTTTCCAAAATAGAATTTCCCTTCCAATGGAGATTTTAAAGAGTCATGTCTAAAGTTGTCCTGCTCTTGGCATAGCCCAGGGGAGCTGTGGGCCTGGGAGCCTCATTCACCCCAGGCTTTTCCCTGACTTAAGTCTGAACTACTGTAGCATTCATTCATCCATTCCCTCGCTCATCAGGCCTTCACTGCGTCAGAAACTCTGAAGCATGGAGGTATAAAGAAGAATTTGACACCACAACAGCTCTGAAGGGGTCCAGAGAACTTTGAAATGAAATAGGAAATGCAGTGACTTTCTAATATCAAGTGGTTGAGGTCCTGCAGGTTCAGGCAACTACCCCAGCCCAGAGACCTTCATACTGCAGCACACCTGGTTCCTATGGTTCTCCTCTCTCCCAGAGACTAAGTTTGGGGTCCACCAGATAATGGCCATCCAAACACATGCAAACACTTCTCCCCTGACCTGTGAATATGGTATGCCACGTGGCAAGAGAGAATTAAGTTTATAGGTTGAATAAAGACTGCTCGTCAGAAAACTCTGAGATGATATTATCCTGGATTATGCAGATGGGGCCATTGTAATCACAAGAATTGCTGTAAGTAAAAGAGTCGGGCAGAAGAGGAAGAACCAGAGAGATGGCGACATAAGGAGGACCTGACCTCCTGTTGCTAGCTTTGAAGATGGAGGAAAAGTCAAAAAAAAGATATCCTTTAGACTAGAAGCTAGAAAATACCAGGGAACAGCTTCTCCCCTAGAGCTTCAGAAGGAAGGCAGCCTTGCCATTACCTTGATTTCAGACTAGTGAGATCCATGTCAGATTCCTGTCCCCCAGAACTGTCAGATAATAAATGTTTTGAACCAATCAGTGTAATGATTCCCTACAGAAATAACAGGAATGCTGGTAAGAGTATGCAAAGGGTGTTTCTGGTAATATCCATCAGGTATATCTTTCTATTTTCACTTAAAGCATTGTTTTAATATTAAGTATATGGAATAGGGTGAAATTTTGGCATTAACTTTGAAGATAGGACAAGAACTCAAACTATTTTGTGGAGTTCTCGATACCAAAGTAGAATGCTATCTACCATTTTTATAATTGTCCACAATCACTTCTTTACCTGGTGTGAAGAAAGTGTGACTGCTCTTATAGTCAGAGATAGAATGAAAGCTTAGAACAGTCATCCAAGGTCAACGGGACAGCGTAGTAGTGGTGGCAATCCAGCCCTGTGCTCTGCCTCTGCATCCAGGGCTCTTTTTGCCGCTGAAGGCAATTCTCTGGGGTAGGATTTCAGCAGCCCTCCCCAAGTTCAGCACACAACAGCAATGGTATCCGTGTTTGCGTGGCCCCTGGACCTGCTCAACGGCTGCTCTTGATTTAGGTGTTGCTTTCATTCTGACTGTGAAACTGTAACTGGCCCCTTCTCCTTATATGACTAGATGTGTTCCCATGGAAGGGTCACATTGACAAAAGAGAGCACAGACAATGTGCAAGAACAGGACTGGGGCCTCTGATAACAGGGCAAGCCATTTTTCATTATGATCCCAATGCAACTGACCTGAATGGGAGGCACAAAGAGGAGGGGCCACCGCCTTCGTTCTCTGAGACTGAGATCAGGGACTTCTTTTTTGGCTTTTCTCAACATGTCTTTTCATTTCATGGCAGCACATTGTGTGGGCCCCAGGTATCAGAAGCCACAGTTCTGTTTTTTGTAATCAGATGTTGTATGTATTCAAGCATTGTAAAAAAAAAAAAAAAAATTATATAGATTCATCATTAACATTAGGTTTTGTATTTTTTTTAACCACAAAGGAAGCATTTTTTTCTTTTCTCATTGTCCTCTTGTACCAAAATTTAGTGTCCATATATTCTGTTTTTAGCCTTTCTTTCTTTGCAGTACTGGGGATTAAACCCAGGTGTGCTTTACCACTGAGCTATATCCCCAGACCTTTTTATATTTTTATTTTGAGACAGGATTTTGCTAAGTTGCTGAGGAACTCCTCAAACTTGTAATTCTCCTGCCTCAGCCTCTGAGTTGCTGGGATTACAAGTGCGTGCCATGGTGCCCAGCTATTTTATATAATCTTTCAAATCATCTCTTCAAAGATGGCCACTGCTGGAAAATATCACCTCTCCCAATCCCACCCTTTTCACCCTCTGTCCCTTTACCCTGTTCTATTCATTTTTCCACAACACCTCTCACACATGACATTTTTTTTCCCATTCTTTTTCTGGTTCCCCTCCTAGAATATAAGCTCTAAAAGAGCAGGTGCCTCACGTTTGCTGTTATCTCCCAAGTGCCTAGTCGGTGCAGGGTAGAGCAGGGCTTCATGAATATGTGTTGATGAATTACCGAATTCTTTACACCTCCTCTGTCTAGTGCCATCCTCGACCTGCTGTAGAAAAGACCTTAGTGAAATAAAAAGCAAGAAGCCATAGCAAGGGAGGAAAGTCCATTTCGTTCACATTTTTTTGTAGTCAACGTTTCTAGTTTCTGATGGACTCATTGATCAGGGGAAGGAGGCAGCAGGGGAAATATCAAAGTGTTAAGTCAGAAGTGTTCGAAGCTTCTGTACAAAGTTCCCAAGACTCAAGGTCTGGCCCCTGGGCTGAGCCTATTTAGTGCCTGGCCCTTCCTCCAGACGCAGTAGAGGCAGTCACAGGTGAGCACCAGCTGACTGGTATTCTGTTCCCTTAAGCAAAGCAAAGGCTTCGTTCAGTTAATTGACAGAGTGGTAGAAGAAAGTGAGGAGAGGGCTGTTGAGTCCCCTTTTTTGAGATCCACTGATTTGTTACAAGTTTGTTCTGAAACTGCTAGATCCTCCTGTACCCCAGGGCATTTGTTTATTTGTTTTCCTGGTTTCATAAACCCCACCTGGAAGTCTTCCAGTTACTGCTTAAGGGATCAATGGTATCTCCTCTTTGAGAGCCTCCTGAATACTTCTCGTGAGGTTCTTAGGAGCTCTCAACATGCTTGGCCTATGTTGCTTCCACCGGTCTCACCACCCTCCTAGTTTAAATGACTATATCCATTACTAGTTCAGAGCTCTAGGAGGCCAAAAATCATCTCTACCAAGCTTGCTGTCTCAGTGTCCAGCTCAAGTGTCTGGCATGCGGTAGTTATTCCACGAATGTTGAGAAAAATGAATAACTGAACACAAGAGAAAATGAGCAACTTTACAATCCAGTCATGGGCATCCAGTTAGCATTTTGGATCTTCCTTCTGGGGTTATCATTTGATGATACATATATATTTTTTTTGTCCTTATTCAGGCACTCTGATCGTTCTGAAACATCCCTATCCAAGAGTAGTGGAAGAACCTTCCATTTATGAATCTGTCAGGGTTCACACAGCAATGCAGACAGGAAGAACAGAAAGTGACCTCGTGCCCACTGCACCTTCCGTAAGTAACATCAGTCTAACCATGAGCTCTTTCATTGTCTGGAAGTCAGTAAGAGTTGTAAGAGCAGTAAAAGTTGAAGTTTTATTCACATAAAAATTCTAGCTTGGGATATAAGACTTGGGACTCAGTTCATCTGATCCAATGTAAATCATAAAGAATACAATGATTGGGTTGGGGGTATAGCTCAGTGGTGCTTATCTGGCATGCCTGAGGCCCTGGGCTCTATACCCAGCACCACAAATACACACAAACACAGGCACACATGTACACAGGCACACACGTGGGCACACTTGTGAACACACAGGGCTTTAGCAACAAGATGTTAAATACTTAGAAAATGGCACTTAAATGTACAACCTAGAAGAATGAGAAGTTATATTCCATTTATGTATGATGTGTCAAAATGCATTCTACTGTCTATATAACTAATGAGAACAATTTTTTTTAAAAAAGTCGAGCCGGGCGTGGTGGCACACACCTGTAATCCCAGCAGCTCTGGAGGCTGAGGCCGGAGAATCGCAAGTTCAAATTCAGCCTCAGTAACTTAGTGAGGTGCTAAGCAACTCAGTGAGACCCTGGCTCTAAATATAAAATAGGGCTGGGGATGTGGCTCAGTGCCCCTGGGTTCAATCCCTAGTACAAAAAAAAAAAAAAAAAGAAAGCAAGAAAAGAAAAGAAAATGGCACTTAAGTTCCGATCTTTAGATATCCAAGCAAAGTTCATGGTAGAATGGGTGAGAGCTGTGTTTAGCTATTGACTTAACAGTTTTCTTTGACAAATGTCTTAAATTAAGAAAAAAATTGTCTTTTACATTTCAACCCTCCACGGAAGAAAAGTGTTCTCCTGCTTTACTATAAAAACTCATGGTGTTATTTTCTTCCTAGCTCTTTTTTCCTGCACTGACTGAAAACATTTGCACTTCTTTGCATCGGGGGCCATTGTTCAGCTGCAGTGCAACTAGAGCACTCGTTGTCCTTCAAGAGTCCATTTATGTTTGTTCTGTGAACTGTGACCCTGCAGATCCCTCCCTGGCAGCCCCTTCTCTTCATTATTCCCAGGGCTCTTCTATTTGCTGCCTCTTGTTTGCTGAACATTATTACTACAAGAAATCTGGATTCATGTGGTGGATAAAGACAATACCCAAATTCTAAGTAGCAATCATAACACTTGAAAAATAATCACTTGCAGATACTCAGCTACAAACCATATTAAAACAGATGTGAGTGCTCTGTCTCTGCAGTTCTTTTTCCACCCTGCTGCCAGAGAGATCTTATTATTAAAAAGCAGATTCACCACATAACCTGCTTGTTTCATATCCTTCTGTGGTGCCCATAGTCTTCATGGCCCACATACACCCTGCTTGCCCTCTGGCCTCATCTCATGCTACTTCCATGCTTATTTGACAAAACCTGCCTCTCTCAAACAGCATGCATTTCAATAAGTTGTTCCTTCTGCCCTCCCTGTAGCTGAAATGCCTCCAACGCTGTTACTGTCCACTCAGCCCTCAAGATTAGCATCCGGGATCAGTGCCTTCCAGGAAGCCTTCCTTGACTCCATCGGCTTCTTTATAAATGTTCCTTTTCTGGCTCTGGAGCCTGCTATTTACCTATATCCAAGAATTATCACATCATAATGAACTACCTGCACATCTGTCTCACCCCCACCAACTTGACACTTCTTTTTTTTTTTTTTTTTGGTGCCAGAGATTGGACCCAGGGACACTTAACCACTGAGCCACATCCCTGGCCCTTTCTATTTTTTATTTTCAAATAGTATGTTGTTTAGTTGCTCAGGGCCTTGCTAAGTTGATGAGGCTGGCTTTGAACTTGCAATCCTCCTGCCTCGGCCTCCGAAGCCACTGGGAATACAGGCGTGCACCACTGTACCCAGCTATCCTGACACTTCCAAGGACAGGTTTCATAGCTTGTCTTTGGAGCTTTGTAGCCCAGCCAGTTCATGGTACTCTTTACATTTTTCTTACTCTGCCACATCTTCTCAAAAAGAAAAATCCTAGAAATCGGTCAAGAAAGATATTTTGACTTTGTTACAGTTGAGGAAGAAAGTATCCATCCTCAGAACTAGAAACACTTGGGAAAGTAAGGTGATAAATAACTTAAAGTCAAAAGAAAGTAAAAATCAGATCAAGAGCCTACAATGTGTGTCTTTTATCAAACAGTAAGATGCAGATAATTCCTCCTTTGAAGGGTTGATGTGAGCACAAGATGTAGCATACTTAGTAAAAATAAGCCTCTTGAGATAAAATTCTGGAAGCCTTGTTAATTCTTTGCTCGCTCCAACTATCAGATGAATTCACCTGCCCAGAAAAGTTTGTATAATGCTGTTTTTAAATAGTAGTGAGTGGTTGATTGACAGTGACAATGATAACTCACACTATTTAATGAGAATCCCATGAAGTTTATTGTACATTTATTTATTTGTTTATTTATGTGTTTATTGGTACTGGGGATTGAACTCAAGGGCACTCAACCACTGAGCCACATCCCTAGCCCTTTTTTATATTTTATTTAGAGACAGGCTCTCACTGAGTTGCTTAGTGCCTCACTTTTGGTGAGGCTGGCTTTGAACTCGCGATCCTCCTGTCTCAGCCTCCCTAACTGCTGGGATTATAGGCATGTGCCACCACATCTGGTTTATTGTGCATTTATACAGGCAAAACAACAACAACTCTAAAAGGCTTTCGAGTGGATTCTGAAACATCTCTCATTACTCCACTATGGACTCCTTGATGACTGTACATGTGTGGCTGTGGAAAGAGTTCTGATCTGATTAGAATTATTGTTTATACTGAACACAAAGTTTTCATCTTCACTGGTTACCCCAGAAAGCCATAGGATCATGCACCTCTGCCTCCAATCTGACAGCTCTGAGGGTTTTCAGACTTCTGCTTTCTCCTGTGGAAATGCAGTTCTTGCACAAGCTGTCAGTGAAAGTAGAGAATTAAATTCTATTTACAGGAAAAAGAACTTCCTTAAAGCAAAAATGAAAGATGTCCCATTGACCAGAAATATAAGTGCTTATATGAAGTTAACATTCTTTGGCAACTGCCTTTGGGGAAATTACTATTTATGACATATAAACAACAAGGCATTGCAATGCAGATGTATCTCAGTACTCGAGTGCTTACCTAGCATAAATGAGGCCCAGGGTTTAAACCCTCACACACACACATACACATATACCAACAAAGCATTGAGTTTCTGAGATGAGGTTTAATTTAATTAATTTATTTATTAAACAATTTCAACAATTTCTTTCTTTCTTTTTCTTTTTTCTTTCTTTCTTTTTTTTTTTTTTTTTTTTACTAGGGATTGAACCCATGGGTTTTTTACCACTAAGCCATATCCTTGGCCCTTTTACTTTTTATTTTGAGACAGGGTCTTGCTAAGTTGCTTAGGGCCTGGTTAAGTTGCTGAGGCTGACCTCAAACTTGCAATTCTCCTGCCTCAGCCTCCCAAGTCAAGTCACTGGGATTATAGGTGTTCAACAGTGTGCCCAACTAAACAAACATCTTTTAAGTGCCTACCATATATACAACACTGAGAGTTTGGCAATAGGTTAGGCAAAGCCCCCCACTGCAAGGGTTCACATTCTAGTTGGGAATACATCACAAAACAAAGGACAAGGAGAAAAGATGGAAACCCAGGAGGCCTCTCGGAGGAAGTCACATTTGAGCAGAAGCTTCACGGAAAGGAAAAACACATGTGGACAATGATACCAGGTGCAATCTGTCATCCCAGTGATTCAGGAGCTGAGGCACTTAGATCAAAAGTTCAAGGCCATCTTTGGCAACTTAATGAAACAAAAATGGCCTCGAACTTGTGATCCTCCCACCTCAGTCTCCCAAGTAACTGGCATTACAGGTTTGTATCACTGCACTATCACTGTGGTGTTTCAGAGACCACAAGGAGGCAAACATGCCTAGATGGAGAGAGAGAAAGTGGTGAAAGATGAGATTACTGAGGCAATGGAGGGGAGCAGGTCCTGTAAGACAATGATGTTCTCAAAGAACAGTACAGTACATCCCAACTGAGTTTGTGAAACTTTATTTTAGTTGCCACAATGCTTTGGGACATACTAGCCTCCGTGGGTGTCAAGAACTGTGAAGAGTCCAAGATCTTATCCTACTTACAAGCTAACAAGTTGGCCTGACACAGTTTCATGGATGCTACTAGATGACACAAGCCTTCTGGGTCAGAGACAAGGCCGGTAGCTTCTTACAGCAATAGCATCATCGGAATATTGGCATTTGAGTTTCTAACCTGTGCTGAATTCTAATTCCCACAGGAGTACATTAAAAGGGCCAAGTGATAACTATATACACAGTGGGTTGTATTGTAGGAGAGGAACCCTGAGCTTTGGGAACCCAAATCTTTTATAATGCACACTAGCATGTCTGACTTTTGGTTTTGAGGGAGATATTATTTCTGTCTTCCAAGGTTGTCTGTCAGGCAAACATACTTTTAAAATTTGATCTTTAATAAAAGGATGTTAGTGCCATGCTTTTGTGACATACAAAAACATAAGAGACCCATGGAGAATTGCTTCTCAATCATGGGAAGGATCATGGAGTTTAAATATCGGGCAATTCATGAAGAATTGTCAAATCTAAAATGTCAATTTTTCCTCCTTTACATAATATGAAATGTTTCATAGCATGTGGCAAAGGATTTTTGTTCCAAGTGTTGATGAGAAATTATAAGAGAGTTTTAAAATGTTCCTTAAGTTTTTACTTTTTAAAAAAGATCCTTCTCACTGTACATGGAAACTGGAGTGGGAACTAAGTAAGAACACCTTTCAAGAGGCTATTACAGCAGTTCAGGGAAGAGATGGTATTAACCTGGGGAAGGAGGATAAGAGTAGTAGTTAAAGTGCAGTGAAGTTAAAGTATGAACTAGTCAACTTCAGGATGTATTTTGAAGGTAGAAGAGACAAGACATACTGATGAATTGAATGTGATACACGAAATCAAGAGGAACAGAGTAAATAGTCCTGCCACTTCCTAATATAGCTAAGACTAGAGGAGGACTGAGTTTGGAAATGGAAATGAGAAATTCTGTGTTGGACATGTTAAATGTGAAATGTCAAGTAGTTATGTTGGTAGAGAGTCAGTGAGATAATATTTCAAATTCCTGGCATAGAATAAGTCTTATAAAAACTTTAGCTTCATTAGCTTCCCTTTTGTGGTATTTCACATTTTAAACAATTCTCTCCTTCTAAAAATTGTTTCCTTTGCTTCTGCAACATTGTTCTATATTTTGTGATCTCTGACACATTTTATAGTTCCTCTTCTTAGGCATCTCCCTTGCATGTTGGTGTTTTTCAGTATTATTATTCAATCTGTGAAGTTTTTCTCACACTTAATATTTTGCTGTTTGTCCTTCCAAACACATATGTTAGCTCTCTCTCTCTCTCTCTCTCTCTCCATATATATATATATATATATATATATATATATATATATATATAAAATATTATATATGAGCTTTATATTATATATATAATTGTACATATATAATGAGCTTTATATTGTAGAGTTATAAATATGCTTATTTAATTATATGTTATGTTCAGCTTTCATGTCTTTACATAGTTTCCTAAAACATCATTAAGAAAATTCTTTAATATTCCATTATTTTGGTACATCAATTTATTTAGTAATTCCTCTATTAGGTTTTTATGTTCTGTTTTTTATAATGATTCCAAGCCTACAGAATAATTAAAAGAATAGTACAAAGAACTCTGTTTTTCCTGACCCATTGGAAACTAAATTGACTACATGATACCCCATCACTCTGAAGTCTTCCGTGGCACATTTCCTATAACAAGGGCATTTACCTACATGATCACACAGAACCATTCAAATTAGGAAACTAACATTAATACCATGCTACCATTTTATCCAGAGATCTCATTCAAGTTTCTCCATAAGGTTTTCTCCATAAGGTTCTCTATAGGGAAAAGATTCGATACACAGTTACAAATTACACTTATTTCTCCCATCTCTTGAGTATTCTTCAAGACAAAACAGCTCCTCAGTTTTTCCTTGACTTCATGTCTTTGACGTTTTTGAAAATTAAAGGTCAGTTATTTTGTGAACTGTTCCTCAATTTTGGTTTATCTGACACTGAATCATCATTAGATTTGAGTTCTGTATTTTTGATAGAAATACCACAAGAAGGATGCTTTGTGCTTCTCATTGCAAACTCTCACATGGATACAATTTCAGTTTGTCCCATTAAGGTGGGTGTTGGAAGACTTAAGCAATGTATGCACTTAACATTTCTTTATTTTAAAATCATTTTCCCCTTTTTTTATTAATAAATATTTGTGGAGGTTTTAGAGACTATACAAATATCCTACTCCTCATCAAAATTTTATCTACCAATTTTAGCATTTATTGATGTTTCTTTGCTGTTTTAATTATTACAATGATATCAACAAATGGCAAGTCTCTGATATTAGCTGTTATTGTACTGTAAGGGAAATATTTTTATTTTCCACATTTATCCAATCCTTTTTGTATTGATAGGTTATAATCATGACTATCCTTATTTATTTTGATCCTTTAAATTTCCCCAGTCTTTCAAGATGACTTCTGTGTTCATATGGTCTCAAAATGCTTTTATAACTTTCTGATACAGCAGGATATTCCAGACTTATATTTTCCTTGTTCCCAGCTCTGGAACCAGCTAATTCTCAATAAAAAAGAAAGGAAAAAAAAAAAAAAAAACTTGCTCCTTTTTCTGCAAAGTGGTGCTTTAGAAATCAACATTTGAGCAGTATTTGCTTATTTTCATTGCAGTGTCATTCTGCTAACCACTCAATGAAAAGGGAAAATATGCATGCATCTACATATGAATCCACACGCACTTTTTTTGGTCTATATCTACCTATCTATTCATCTGTCCATATATCCACTCACCTTCCATGGGTTCATAACAGTACCTTCAATCCTAATCCAGAACCACAAAGCTCATTCTAGTTTTTTCCTTTTTCATATTGTAATAACCTTGTCCCACAGTGAGGAATATTGACCCCATTATCCTCTATACATTTACTTCTATGATAATCAACTGAATGGAAGCCATCTTCAATTGATGCTCTTTTTATCCATGACCCTACTTGGACACCCTGCTCACCCAACTCAGGCTCTAACACCCAGTTCCAGGCCAATGCCATCCCTGCCCTCACTGCACATGCACTCCATGACTTGTCTCTAAAACTGTGCACCATCTACCACCTTCACCACTTTGAGCAGAAGCTCTCCTCACCTTGCTGGGCTTTAACACTTCCCTCCAAGCTGCTGCTGACCCATCACCACCATCATTCACAAAATTCCCTGTACACTGCCTGGACTCTACCACCCTCCATGAAGGAGCACATGTGCCACCACACACTCACACTACTGCCTGCTTGCTCCACCCCCAACCCATGGCTTTTTAAAGAAGGTAGTCAGAAAGGCTGATCCTGTATTTTTAAACATTAAGCTTGTTTCCAACTTGGGAAAGATGTTCTTATAAACATCTTTTTTTTATAGATCATAAATTTTTTAAAAGACAAATCTTCTATATAATTATTTCATTTCTTATAATCTGAGACCCTGGAATAAAATTAATATTCTCAGCTCTTCAATTGGTAGTTTTCCATTTATCAAAACCATAGAAAAATGCTAGACTAATAGCATATTATTTGGGTGGAGGTGAGATAAGTGAACAGCACTATTCCTTAGCTTGATATCAGTGAATAATTACATTAAGGTCTTTTACATAACAATTTACCCTTAATTATTTTAATTCTATAGAGAGTAACCTGCAACCACCCCAAATGGTAATTTTTGCCATTGCTCTATATACCTAAACTCAATTCAATTGGATCAATTCCCTTAACATCAAAATAAATAATATTGATTATATGATATCAAATTCATCTATATTGTTTAGCATTGTTTAAATGAACACCTGGGAAGTCCATCCTTACTTTTATGCCACAGCACTTTTAAAAGTCACTGGATATTATTTCTTGTTTTAATTCTTTGTACTGTGGTTGGTGATTGTTCCTCTTTTTATTTGGTAGGCAAAATTCATCTCAGGAAAAAAATAGTCTGGAAACTCCCATAAAAAGAACCTTGACATCAACCTAGTCATTTCCCAGTTTTGTTTTGTTTTGTTTAAAAAAACTCTTTTTTTAATATTTATTTTTTAGGTGTAGATGGACACAACACAATGCCTTTATTTTTATATGTTGCTGAGAATTGAACCCGGGTCCCACCTGTGCTAGGCGAGCACTCTAACATAAGATCATATTAGACAAAACATCCTATGAGAAATCTAGTTTCATCAGGAATTTATGAATTAATTTCTTGATTTAAGGTTCCTTGTCTCATGCAGATATCTATTCATGCAGTCCCTGATTGTTCATTATATTTCATAAGTTCTAGGTAACATTTGGTATTGATTTAGTAGTATGTGAGTTAAAGGAAACGACTCATTCCCACTTCAAATCCCTTTTGAATAAATCAGGTGTGAATAAATCTGCACTCCTGAATATCTATTGCATAGATATGAGCCTTAAGAAATGGTTTGCAGCCATGCACAGATGTACATGTCTGTAATCCCAGTGGCTTGGGAGGCTGAGGCAGGAGGATCACAAGTTTAAAGTGAGCCTGAGTGGGCTGGGGATGTGGCTCAAGCAGTAGCGTGCTCGCCTGGCATACGTGGGGCCCTGGGTTCGATCCTCAGCACCACATTAAAAAAAAATAAAATAAAATAAAGATGTTGTGTCCACCGAAAACTGAAAAATAAATATTAAAAAATAGTTAGCCTGAGCAATTTAGTGAGACCTTATCTCAAAATAATAATAATAATAAAGGCTTGGCTCAATGATTACATGCCCCTGGGGGTTTGATCCCTGGTATAAAAAAAAAAAAAATGTTTTGGAGAAAGTAGGGAAATGTGGAGATGGAAAGAATATGTGATAAAATAAATGTTGGAAATGCTACTTCTGAGGTTCCTTCTTTAAAATTTACAAAGCATATTAATATAATGCACACCCTGGGAAACCCCAAAGTAAATAAATCCTTTTACTTTTCTTAATCCAGTTTCCAAAAAATGCAGTCATTTCTCTGTACCTGTGGGGAAGGGTTTCATGATCTCCATGGATACAAATATCCTCAGATACCCAAGTCTATTATATAAAATGGCATAGTATTTGCATATAACTTATGCACATCCTCCCATGGACTTTAAACCATCTTAGATGAAGTAATATCTAATATAACATAAACACTATGTAAATCGTTGTTAGAATGTATTATGTAGGGAATAATGACAAGAAAAAATTCTGTGTACGTACAGTACAATTTTTTTTTCCAAATACATTCAATTTGTGGTTGAATCTGAGGATGTGAAACTGGTGGATAAGGAGGGCCCACTATGGTTGACCATCGATGTGCATATGCGTGTTTAGGTGCTAATTCTCCTGCAACAGTACAAGCTGCTGGGTTACACATAACACGCTTCCACAAACGCTGACTTTTATAAGTGAAAAAATGTGGTTTATTATTTGCAAATTGCTAGCTGCAGTTAGCAGAGAGCCTTTCCCTACTTGTCTGTTGCTATAAAATTACACCAAATGATCCAGTCTAAACAATCTCTGACAGGATGTGGAAGATTTTCAAGTGCCTGGTGAAGAATGAAAGACCATCATTTAAGGATCAAAAGCAGACTTGTTCTTTATTCATAATAAGACAGTAATAGAGAGACAGACATCATGCTGTGACTGTTCTGCACTTCACTTAGTGCTTCTTTCTTTTTCAGCTGGGTACCAAAGAAGGCTACCTCACCAAACAGGGGGGCCTTGTCAAGGTAAGGAAGTGCGTTTTTTGCTCATGCCAGCCACAAAGAAGGAGAACATGTCTCACAGACTCAATTCTCATTTTGACAGTCCTTTTTTAAACAGCATAATTGCCAACTCATTTTGACCCACTTATAATTTTACCTATTTGAAAGAGTTCACTTTTATGACTGATTAGTCAAAATTCTGGAAAAATACTTGCTTATTCTTTTAGAAAGCCTTACATTGGTTTTCTACAATGAATACACCAGAAGCCATGTCATCCTTTTAATGGAATGAGAGAGGATAAAGGTGGTATGATAAGGCAGAATGCTTCTGTTCTTTCCTTTTTTCTAACAAAGAAGTCAAAATTATATGAAATGTGGACTAAAGGTAGGCCCCAAACATCACTGACGATAATAAAACTATTTTAAAATCCCAAAGAAAACATAATTTAGAGCTTTATAAGTCTATTGTATGCAACTGTCCCCCATTTATGTGATTTGCCACAGTCCAGCTGCAGCAAAATAACCAGGGGGTGACGAACAACTTGTGTACGTTGATACAGCAGGAGTGGGAGCCGTTTATTGTAGGACAGGAGGGGTATTTATACATTCCACACAGCTTATCTAATTAACATAAACTAGATACAGCAGTCAACCAATAAGGAATCTCCACACTTAATGGCTCGCTGGCATTACTTCACAAACCACTCCCTCTGGCAAAATGCCAGGCGCCATCCTGACTTGTTTACAGACCCTAACATTGATTGTCTTCTATCTCATGTTAGTGCATCACGGAGACCTTCATGAAGGGACTGCGTCTGCTCCTTCCTATATGCAGAGTAGGGACACTTAGCCTCTTTTTTCAGGGGTACTGGTTTGCTTGAATCCAGCCTAAACATTTGGTTGTGTCCCTACTAGGTTGGATGCTTCCTGAAGACTGGGGATATTCACATTTGAGCATATTTATTCTTAAATCCTGTTATTTCTTTTAACTAGTTACATTGCCACCCAGAATGTATAAGGATTCTGTTAGTATAGAAGAAGGTGACAGTGGCAGCAACAGTTTTGCCATAGAATTCTTAGGCAAGGTTTATATTGTCATGTGGTTTGAGTTTTCCAAACCTTAATTGGCTTATTTGTAAGACAAAAATAATATTTGGCATTGTTATATGTGGATTGTCTCTTAAATGAGGATTGTGTACACACACACAAACATATACATCTATATGTATATATGCACACATATATACATATGTAATTAAATATATTTAATATATGTATAAACAGTATATAATATTTAGGGCTGGGGATATAGCTCAGTCAAGTGCTTGCTTTGCATGCACAAGGCCCTGGGTTTAATCCCCAGCACCCTCCCCCCAAAAAAGTATATAATATTTAATGTAAGTACATGTTGAGTTCAATCCTCAGCACCACATAAAAGTAAATAAATAAAATAAAGTTACTGTGTCCAACTACAACTAAAAAATAAATATTAAAAAAAGAATAGTATGTATTTCACAGAAAGTGCTCAAAAATGTTATCTATTGCTATTATAAAAGTTAATAATATAGAAATTTTAGTTGTTTGTTATAATCATCTTGAATATTTATGAGAGGCTACATCTTTTTTTGTTTAAATAGGCTAATAATTTCCCTGCCGTCTTTATGAACTTAATGCATGGAATCAATTTTAATTATGTATTAGATATTTTGAAAATATTTTCTCAGTCACACAATAATTTTCAGACTTATTTTTATCTAATCTTCTAGATACTTCAAAACTAAAAGTAAACTATCTAGTTCAGATATTGCATTCCTGTACTCAAAACCTATAAGTTTTAATTTTTTTTTCCTCAGACCTGGAAAACAAGATGGTTCACTTTGCACAGAAATGAACTGAAATACTTCAAAGACCAGATGGTGAGAAACATATTTTTCTTTAAAAACTAACTCTCTAGATAAAAGGAACATCTGCCTCTAAAAATCCCTGAAATTCTCCTTCTGTCCACCTGAAACAATAAATGATTGGAGATGAGTTCCTGATTCCTGATATGAGTAGAGTTCTTTTACAAAGACAAGATGTGTATCCCAGAGTTGCCCTATTGCCCTGGCTGAACTATTGTTCTCTAGGGCACATAATTCCTTCTGTGTAGGGTAACAGAATTTTTCTTTTGCTACAATTTGTTAACTATCACTCTCCAGCGATTTCTCTGTTTATTAAAATATGTCCATTCCCATGCCCATTTTATTATGCCAATTTAAGATTATTTTATTTCTTCTCACTTTCTTTATAAAAAAATTCTGAGAAAGTAGAAGTTTTAAAAGAGAGAAAAATAACACTCCCTTCCATGGGTAAAAATCCATCTCTATCAAATGTAAGTTGATAGAGGCAATGTCTTTCTTCTTAATGCTTACCTTCATGAAAGGCTAATTCTAAAACCAGAGGTGGGTAACTTTACTTCAAAAGTCTTTTCCATATATATATATCAGTCCTCTTAGAGAAAAAAAAACTGACAGTTGTACCTGGTGGAACTCTTTTTTTAAAAATTTGTTCTTTTTAGTTATACATGATATATGTATACAAACATGGAGTACATATTATTCTAATAAGTCTGATTAGATGATAAATGATGGACGGATTGATGTGATTATTTTTATGATGATGTAGGTTGCTCTTTCTGTTTTATTTTTTAAGTCTCCAGAGCCAATTCGGATCCTAGACCTAAGGGAATGTTCAGCTGTTCAATTTGATTATTCACAGGAAAGGGTAAACTGTTTTTGGTAAGTTGGTTTTTCTTTCTTTTCTTTTCTTTTTATAAATGAAATGTTTTTAAAAGTCTTCTTTTCAGACACTTATTTTAGCTCAGGAATAAAAAGCTGTATGACTTAATGTCTCCTTACGTGTGGAACTGAGGGATGTGGATTCACCATCACACAGTGCATACATGTTAGGCCTTTTTTCAGCTGTGTGTAAAATATTACCTCACGTAAAGAGGTCTAAACAAATTGGCAGAGCCAGGCGCCATGGTGCACGCCTGTTATCCCAGCAGCTCTGAAGGCTGAGACAGGAGTTCAAAGCCAGCCTCAGCAAAAGCAAAATGCTAAGCAATTCAGTGAGACCCTGTCTTTAAGTAAAATACAAAATAGGACTGGGGGTGTGGCTCAGAGGTCAAATACCCCTGAGTTCAATCCTTGACACCCCCCCACACACACACACACAAATTGGCAAGTGGCCTGGGTTTGGCTGTGTGCTATAACATATATGATATAAATTCTGCATTGTGAACATTCACATCTTTTTGTTTGTTTGTACTGGGGATTAAATCCAGGACCATAACATGCATTAACTAGGCAAGCACTCCACCAGTGATCTATACCTTCAACCCTTTTTAAAATTTTGAGATAGAATTTTTGCTAAATTACCCAAACTAGCCTCAAACTTGCATTCTTCCTGATTCAGCCTCACCCTCCCTGTATTATAGGCATACCTGGCTATTCACGACTTAGCTTTCTTTCTTTCAGGTTTTCCTCCAAAATTTTAATTATAATTTTGTTGACTCCAATGATGGGCAACTTATATTATTATTACAATTTATGGCAATTGCACAAAAGTATTTTGTTCAAATATTAGCATATTATGAACTTTTTCTAACTGGAAGAAATAAAGTATCTTGAGAAAGGAGTGTCTTAATTTTTACCAATTTATATCTTCAAATTGTTTGTGTATACTTAAGTTGGAAGACATGTATACTCTTTACCTAGATTCATCAATGTTTTGTTATATTTATCACTTTTTTTTTTCCTGAACCAATTGTAAACATCATGGCTAAAAGCTTAAGTATGTATCTTCTGAGAATAAACATGTTATCTGCAGAACCATAATGTCATTATCACACCTGACAAAACTCATGGTAATTCTATAATATCAACCAGCAATAGACATCTTTTTAAAAAATTGCATAAAGGTGCCATATGAGCTAGCAGTTTTATTTTTCTCACGTAACAGGAAATGGAGAAGCAGGCAGCTTCCACAGCAAGGCCAAGTCCAGTGTCTTTGCAGTTTTCTTGGTCTTTCCTCATGATGGCTACTTCAGAGCCAAGTGGCTACTCCAAATTTAGGCCACTTGTTTTCATAGATCTGAAGAAAGATGTAGGAATGATGTAAGGCTACATCTGTCCCTTTGTACCAGGAAAGCCAATCTTTCTCCAGAAAGTTCCCTATAGACTTCCCCTTATAATTCACTGGCCACAATGGGGCCATCATCATCATCATCCCTAGCATCAGGGAAGGCTAGAAAAGTGAGAGCATAATCATAATTGACCAATTAGGATTCATTGCCTGGGGTTCTGTTAGCAAGAAGAAAATTATCTGTATTAATGGGTACCTAAGGGTCTCCCACAAAGAGTATCAATGACAATTCTAGAAATCAGTTTCACAGAGTGTGTACAATACCAGTATCACCCCTCCCCCTGCATTGTCTACTCACTCCTCAACTGAATCTCACATAAGGTTTTGCCTTCTACACACAGACTCTTACTACTCAGCATTAATTATTGGTGTCAACAAAATATGTTAGTTGGGCTATAGAATAATAGAGACCTTCTGAATTTTAGTTCAAGCCTTTTTTTCACAAACGATCTTAGTATTTTTCATCTAGACTGAATGTCCAGGAAGGATGGGCAAGATATAAGTTAGGGCTAGCCCTTATCATGCCAGTGATTTTGACTGTATAATCAAAGATAATCAAATGATGAATTACTACATATTTAGAAATAGTCCTCTGTGTCAGTAGGAAATTTTATCTTCCTTCCAGTAGACGTTAACTCAGGGTCAGAAATGGGCTAGTTGAGGAGCTATATTGTCTCTTTTCCTCTCCTAAATAACTGCCTACATCCACTGAAGACGGGGTTTTCCTCATTAAAGCTAGATACCACAAATGAGTTCTTTCCACAAACTCTCATCTGTCCTGCGTATTCTTTGAATCATATCACAGGTTCTGAATCATCTAAGAACCCAGTTGACACATAAGTGTTATATATAAGCCTGTACTGTGTGTTCAGTTCAAGATATGTATAGTGAAGGAACTGGGGCAGCCTGGACATAGTTTTTTTCTTTTTTGAAGTCTCATTAGAGAATATAAACCTTGCCTGTAATGATAATAGGGATCTACAACTTCCTACATGTTTCTGCAGTTTGTTGGCAGCTATAGCTCTGTCTATACTAGTTCTTCAAGTTACTTCTTACTCAGGTCCTTTATCGATTCTTTTTTCTCTTGGAATATTCTAATTAGTGTTCCACTAATACATGTTCAACCTACCACCTGGAGTAGCTAACATTCTTTATTTTGTCTTATCAGCTTAGTATTTCCATTCAGGACATTTTATCTCTGTGCAAAGACAGGAGTAGAAGCGGATGAATGGATCAAAATATTACGATGGAAATTGGTGAGTTATAAAAAGTGTTTAAGTGTTCAGTCCCGAGAAATGATGTTGAGGATTTCAAACGTATTTCTGTTGAGTCAGACTATTCCCAAGAATCTAAGGGATGTCATTTGCAGGCTTATGGAATAGTCTGTTTCTTCTCTGGGGGACAGAAAAAAAGATGGAGACATGATTGTAAAAAGAAAGAGCTTATTTGAATCTCAGCCCTAGAGCCTTCCCTAGTGCCCCAGCATCTGTCACTTTGCCTTTAAGGTGTGCAGATTAGTCCAGGTTTGTCAGGAGGAGGGCATCTGGGACTAGAATGCTCATAGAGGAAAGCTGACTTATTTCTCTAGCTAAAAAGTCTTCTAAATGGTGAGAAATTTTCCTATAAATACTATGTAGGAATCCATTTTTTTTTGTTATAGCAAAATACTTTAGGCAATTACTTATGAAGAAAAAGAAAAATCAGATTGCCAAAAAGGAAGCCAGAGAGTGACAAAGGTCAGCCAGGCTCAGACATTTATATCAACTTGCTTTTGTGAAAATTCACTCCAGGCAACCAGTATTTCCTTCCAAGGGCAGCGCACTCCTGACCCACAAGCCTCCCACTAAGCCCCACCTCTTAAAGATTCCATCACCTCTTAATATTGCCACCCTGGGGACCAAGCCTTTTCATATAGATCTTTTAGGGACACACTTAAACATACCAACCTACAGCATACCAATTAAAATCTTTGATGTTTTAAAAAATGAAACACTTGTTTCCTAATTATTATTTATGTGTGTGAAATTATTTGATAGGCCTGGTACTGTGGCACACACCTGTAAGGCTTGGTAGGCTGAGGCAGGAGGATCATGAGTTCAAAGCCAGCCTCAGCAATGGTGAGGTGCTAAGCAACTCAGTGAGACCCTGTCTCTAAATAAAATACAAAAAATAGGGCTGGGGATGTGGCTCCGTGGTTGAGTGTCCCTGAGTTCAATCTCTGGGTACCCCCCCCCCCCCCCCAAAATCATCTGATTGGTGTTTCCTCATATCTGAGAATCTTGTTGGATAGGCCTTTCTAGATACTGGGATTTCTGCTCTTGGTAATTTTTTCAGTTTGAAATCTAAACTAATATGCCACTTATTTTGAGATTGTTCTGATGTATTTGATATTCAGTGAGGAAATACTTTGCCTTATGAAACCTTTGTTCAGATATGAATTAATCTCTTCCCTTTCCTATCCAAGTGACACATAATCATTATAAACAAAGTAAAAATATATCAAATGCACACTTTCAGATTTCTCCCTGTGCAAATATTTAAAAACAAAATTTAACCTTTCTCTGGTATTATTTACTCATTCCACTTAGCAATATATTATAAGCATCTTTCCATATCAACAATTTTAGATTCTTATCATCCTTTTTGATTCATTGAATAGTGTTGCATTTTATAGATTATTGTAAGCATTAGACTAATTCCAAAATTGTACTTTCTAGCAACCGCTTTATAAATGTCTCCTGGGAAAAATACAGAAAACCAGATTAACGCAGGGAGTGGGGCGTGACAATTTATAGTTGCGAGGCTTCTTTAGTAATCAGCATGTCTTATTTAATATTTTAGAGATTATTCTTGATATCACTTTATAATAGATACACATGTGTTTTATTTCAGTCACAAATCAGAAAACAGCTGAATCGAGAGGAAAGCACAATCCGATCTCAGTCATTCATCTTTAAATAGATCTTTCTCACCAAAGAGTGGCCTTGGCCCTGAGCAAGGTGGAATGCTCCCTGGTATTGTGATACATAGCAGGATTCAGATGAAAGCTGACCAAGGATTTTTCTTCAAAAGCAAATCAAAAGCAGATACTGACCAGGACCCATATACCACGTTCACAGACTCTTGGGAAACTGCTGCCATTCCAAGATGTCGCCATGTCCAGCACACTGAAGCAATTGTTCTGAGAGAAATCAATGGACCCCCACCTCCAGGTCTGCTCACTCTCAGAACACATAATGCAAGATGAAGGGATTTTTGTCTTTACTCCAAGTAGCCCCCATGCTTGCTGACATGAGTTGTCGAGTTCCACTCTGGGTCAAGGTCAGCTCACTGACCTTGAAGTTGTGCTATTATGCAGGAAGTAAACAGTCCTATGTTTGGAAAGCTTAGACAGCTTCTTTATAAAGTATATGGAGATAGCAGACATCAAGGATTTTTTGAAGGAGAGGTTGTTTTTTGCTTTTTTGTTCTTTATACAAAAGTCAAAAACTGTTTCCAAAACTAAAATGGAACCTGCTTATTGTTTTTATTTTCTCTTCTAAAAGCCTTAGAAATCTAGTGTGTCTTTCACTTCTAATGATAAAACTATGAGAACTAAATGTCCTATGGGCAATTATGTGGGACAATAAAGGTACATGAAGATACAATTTAAAAACATCACTTGACTATTTTGGGGGAAATGTTTTGAAGCGTGAAAACACATAAATTGAGGAAGGGTAACAAAGTGGTAGATAACTTGTAGTTCATAATAATTATTATTTTATTTATAATAACAATAGAGGACATGTAAGCAGTGGGTTATCTTTATCTGACATTTCTCCAAATGATCTGGAAGAGATTTCTCAAAGTGTGTTATAACAGTCCCTTTCCTATAATGAGCTATATAGGGTTAACTTCTAAGCCCCCTGGGCCTTACTAAAGAGCAACTTCTATTGCCAGTTGAGGGAGTAACACTAAATCTACATGAAATATATAATAATGTGTTACACAGCTGTTGCAAAGAAGAGTAAGAAGACTGAAGTGAGAATGAAATGCTGGTGTCTAGAGTTCATAAGCAGATTCTAACTCTTTCTAATATCTTTATCGATCCTGCTTTTTGAGGCAGAAGTTTATGGTGCAAAGGTATGATATAACACTGCTCTTGCAGTCCCAAGGGATACCTTGTTAACCAAGTTCCCTCTATTATTTAAGCATTTAAGACTTGGAAATTACAGTACATATTGTATGTTTCAACAAGGTTTTTAATGTATTTCATATGTTTGTATTATATGGGATAAAATAGATGTCAAGTTAAAATGTATTATGTCAAGTTTGCAAAGTAATATCAAATAACTCTCATATACATCTATAGATGTATACTATACATCTCCTGTATGATTTCATGTATGGTTTTCTTAAAAACAAAGGTGTTGCTTTGTGTAGGTAATATTGATTTTGCTTTTTGTAAAACATACCATGTTTATTTATATTCTTTGTTTCTGTTTAATAAATAAAAAGCACAATTTTGCTGTTCATGTAGTAGCACATTTTCAGTCTTTGAAATTTAAAAGAAATACAATTGATGAATATCACAAAGCAATTATACTGAAGTTAAACTATGAGCCACAAAAGACTGGAAGTTGAAGAAGTAGTTTCAGTCCTGCTGGGTGTGATGCTGTATGCCTATAATACCAGCAACTCAAAAGGCTGACACAGAAGGATCACAAGTTCAAAGCCAGCCTCAATAACTTAGCGAGGGCTTCAGCAACTTAGTGAGATCCTGTCTCATAATTATAAAAAAATAAAAAGGGCTGAGAATGTGGCTTATGGATTAAGCATCTCTGGGTTTAATCACTAATAACATAAAGAAAAAAAACGAAATAGTTTCATTCCTTCAGGAATTCTTAGTTAAATTATGTACAGGACAATAAGCAGATATGTAGTGACAGTGCATAGAGGTAAATAATATAAATACTGTAAGAGAGGTACACAAAGCTATTTGATGGAAAGCAAGCTTCAATAGGAACAAAACCATTTGTGGTAGGTTCTGACATGGGGAGTTAATGCATATATCCACTAAGCACTTAGGACCAGGTAAGCTTCTTCTCTGCAGTCTCCTAAATGGGTTATCTTTATCTGATATTTCTCCAAATGATCTGGAAGAGATTTCTCAAAGTGTTATAACAATCCCTTCCCTAGAATAAGCTGTATGGGGTTAACCTATATGCGCTCTGGGCCTTATTAAAGAACAACTTCTGTTGCCTGTTATGGGAGTAACACTAAGTCTACTTGAAATATATAATAATGTATTATACCGCTGTTGCAGAGTAGAATAAGAGGTCTGAAGTGAAATTTTAACTTCCTAAAGAGGCTGCACTTCCAACTCCTGAGAGGAGCCGGGTGAGGGGTCCTCAGCTATTTCTCCAAATCTAAAACCGGGGAAGATGTTTGTGCCAATGGCAGATCAGAGCAGGGGGATATGGAGAACAGTGAGTGAGGTGCCCATATGAGGCCCCATCTGCTAATGGTATGTGCTTATCTAAAATGAAGTGCCCCAGGACACTGTCAAAGCATTAGCAGTTACTCTCAGAATTCCCTCTGGGAGATCTTGATACACAAGAGCAAAGTTCCCTCTGGAGCAGTAGAGTCACCCCCTTGGATGGAAAGTCCAGTACTGTTTCTGAGGGAAAGCAGCCCCATTCCAGAATCACTGGCTATCAGGACACTCAGTGGAGCAGGATCATCTTCCTCCACCCTGTGGCATGCAAGAGAATGAGTTGGGTGTGCAGGTCATGGAATTAGGCTTGTGTCCCACTTCAGGCAGACAGCAAAAGAATTATTCTAGTGAACATCAGTCCTACTTCTCTTCCCCTCCACCTCTGATTGGTTGCAGAGTAGACCCATGTTTTTACCAAACTCTTCCCAATCAAGGGTGCTATAGTGCCTACAGAGTGTCATGTGTGGGCCAATGCTCTGCTCACTACAGATTTGGCTGCCTGGCCATGATTTCAAAACCATCTGTAGGGGAGGACCAGATTTTTATTTTTTAAAATTTGGAATCTATCATAGAGATTTTGTAAAATTCAATTAAAAATGACTAGAAAAGTGAAATAAAAAGCATAAATATCACAAACCCAAATTTTGTTATCAGATTCAAGAGACATAAATTTACTATGTCAAATTGGTTAAGTTTTTAAAGCACTCACTCCCAATTTCTGTACTTATCTTGTAAATAGTGTGCAGAATGCCCCATCTGTTGAGCACATTTTGAGTAGCACAGGTCTAAGTAACTAGCAGGTGAAAGAAAATGAGTCTTCTTGAGAAAAGAATCCACCTAAAGGTAAAGAGGCCTGGGGTGCAAATGTTTGGTTAATGGAATATGGGTATCATTATAGGGGGATGGTGATTCTAAACACATCCTTGCCTGTTACTTGGGCCTTCCTCTGCAAACCTAAAGGAGGTGTTTGACTCAAGTCACCAGGGGAGAGATGTTGAGATGGAAGTTCTATCATATTTAGAGTGCGACAACATCTTTGGCCTTCGTTGTAGGATCCAGCAGCCTCTGAGGGTACTCACACCCTCAGGCAGAAGTAGCAGCAATGACCAGGGTTGAGGGGCATAGCTTATCCCAAAGGGTGGGAACAAAGCAAAGTAAATTGGCAGATGCCACGTGTTTTAAGAGTACATGTGTAGCCAGGTGTGGTAGCAAAGGCCTGTAATCCCAGCAGCTCTTGAGGCTGAGGCAGGAGGATCACAAGTTCAAAGATAGCCTCAGCAACTTAGCAAGGCCCCAAGCAACTAAGTGAGACCCTGTCGCAAAAATATAAAAAGGGCTGAAGATGTGGCTCAATGGCAAATCAGCCCTGGGTTCAATTCCTAAATGTCTAAATTAATATATTTTCAAAAAAAAAGAGTACATGAGAAGGGTTGTATGGGTACCCCTGGAAATATCTGAAATGCATTTGAGAGGAACTGGATTTTCCACAGGGGTGAAAAAACAAGAATGGAGACAGAGAAGTGGGCATAAGGGGGTCCGTAAACTTATCTTGTGGTTATTTTCTTAGTCCAGATACATGCTTGTCATAGACATACTCAACAACTGGTAAGGTCCCCCATTGATTCCTTGACTTGTGAAATGAGGGCTATTATAGCAAGAAAGGCCAATTGGAAAACATTAGAACTACCTCTGCCTGAGAAAATAATAAACAAAAGTAATACCACATTCCTGGAGGGACTTTAAAAATTAGTGCCACCATCAAAGATGGGGTAGAGGTGGTGATTCCTTCCACAACCCCATTCAGCCCATCAATTTGTCCAATGCATAAAACACATAAACTTACCCCAGTGGTGACTCTAATTGCAGCTGCTGCTACAGACATGATTTCACTGCTTGAGCAAGTTAACACACCCGTTGGCCTAGTATGCGGCTATTGATCTCACAAAAATAATTTTTTTCCCTCAATATCTGTTAGTAAATACTAGAAAGAGTTAGCTTTCAGCTGGTAAGACTGACACATCTTCACTGTTCTGCAGCCAAATGTTACAATTTAGTTCACAAGGACCTTGATCACATTTCCTCCCACTAGACATTACACTGGTCCATTACATTGATGACATTATGCCAACTAAACAAGAAGTAGCGAAAACCATAAGCACTTTGGAAAGATATTTTTGTCTCAGACCATGGGAAATAAATCCAACAAGAATTCAGGTGCTTTCCAACTAAGTGAAATTTCTGAAAGTACAATGGCATAGAGCCTGTCAAGATTTTTTGTTTCCTTGTACTGGGAATTGAACCCAGGGCTTCACATGCCAGGCAAGCAATATACAACTGAGCTACCATTCCTAATCACTTTAAAAATTTTTAATTTGGAACAGGGTCATGCTGAGTTGCCCAACCTGGCCTTGAACTTACACTCCTCCTGCCTCAGACTCCTGAGTAGCTGGGCTTACACAACAAGCCACAGTGCCCAGCAGGGTTTCTCTTTTAATAGCAAGAATAATTTACATTCAACTGCTCCACAACCAAAGATGTGGCACGATACTAATGGATTTTTTGGATTTAGAAGACAACATATTTCTCATCTTGCTTATGGAATTCAACGGTCTTACCATCCTGAAGCAGCTGGCTTGACAGCACGGTGGAATGGCCTTGATTCTAAATATGTCTAAATTACATGTAAATAATATTTTTTCCATAGCCAAGATGCAGAGTTATGGAATCAAGGGGTGGGAATGAAAGCAGCACCTCTCAATATTATCCCTAGTGTCCACTAACACAATTTTTTGCTTTCTGTCCCCATGTTCTTATACTCTGCAGATCTAGAAGACTCTGAAGAGGAATGCCTCCACTAGACACAATAATGATTCTATTAAACTGGACGGGCTGCCACTCTAACAATTTAGGCTCCTTCTTTCTGAATCAACAGATAAAGAAAGCAATTACTGTAATGGCAGGGGTCAGTGTCCTTAGTATTAGGGGAAATTTGGCTGTTACTGCACAAAGGAAGTTAAAAAAAAAAAAAGTAAGTCTGGAATACAGAAGCTCTGCCAAGGGAACCTTAGTACCATCAACCCCTATGATTAAAATAATGAAAACTTACAAAACCAAATTCAGGCAGGACATCTAATGGCTCAGATTATTTAGGAGTAAAGATTTGGATTAGCC